CACAACAACAACATAATAGACAACAATATTAACAACAACATAATAGACAACAATATTAACAACAACATCAACAACATCAACAACAACAAAAACGAAAACATCGGCAATGACAACAAATATTACTTTTGCAGAAACAAAAACAGTTATTACATCTGCAAAGACAACAATAACAACGACAACAACAACAACGACAACAACAACATAATAGACAACAACATCAACAACAACAACAACAACAACAATGACAACAACAACAATGACAACAACAACGATGTAAACCGCGAAACATCTGCCGATCAAAATTACATGCACCCTTACATCAAAATCCTCTGGAAAATTGCAAAAATAATCCGTCCGGAATGCTCATTTTTCACAAATTAAAAATTTCTGTCATGCTATCTTAAACTACATGCTATTTATATTAAACGAATCTAATTGCAACTTATTTTTATGTAATAATGAATCAAAGTTAATTTTGATTTGAACTTTCAAAGAATACTGGCTATAGATGTTTTCAATTTAATCTCACTATCAATCAATCAATCAATCAATCGATCAACCAAACAGTTAATCAATCAAAATTAAAAAAAAACTTTTACATCATTTTTATAAAACTTATTTAAAACTAAAAAATTAATTAATTAGTTAAATTACCAATTAATTAAATTACCAATTAAGTGGTAATTTAAATATTTAAATAATACTTAGAAATTCATAACATGACATGAAAAATAAAATTATAGAAAGGACAAAAAATTAATAATTTTTGTTATTATCATCATTATTATTATTATTGTTGTTGTTGTTGTTATTATTATTATTATAGTAAAACACACATACATACACAGACAAACAAACACAAACACACACAAACACAAAAGAAACGAACGGAATTGAGAAATAATATTTTATCCAATTGTTCGTTTGATTGCTGTGACTTTACAATTTATTATTCGAATTATAAAAATAATAACAACTACAACAATTATTATTGTTGTTATTATTGTTGTTATTTTTGTTTTTCATAAACAACAGTTTAATGCAAGTTTAACTCGCATGATGAAATTGGTCCTTCTTCTTCATCTTGTTGTTATTATTATTTTTTGTTTATTATAATTAATATTAATATTATTATTATTATTATTTTTAATATTATTTTTATAACTTTTTATTGAATGAAAAAATTAATCAACTTTTATTATTTCAACGTATCATTCTATCTACCACAGCTTATATTTTTCCAATCGTCATCATCACCATCATCATCATCGTTATCACCATCATCCTCGTCGTTATCATCATCATCATCATTAACGTCATCATCATCGTCATCAACGACAGAATACCATCTTAATCATCGTCATCATCATCATCATCTACAAAGTTACTGTAGAATTAAAAAAAGAGAGTTTTTTTTAATATTTTTTCACGCACTTTCCATAAAATATGACGTTTACAATTTCAATTCTTTTCCTTTCATAGATTTTTGTTACTTTTGGTTATTATTATACACATTACGTGTATCGCCTTACGCGTCGAGAATTTAGACTTTTTAAATTTTTTTATTTTTTCCCGCATTAATATTTACGTATCGAATTGTTTAAAAAATAAATTATAAATGATTGGATTGAGTATATAGAATGTCGCTATCACAGCAACAACAACAATTACAACAACGGAAGCAACAACAAGAAGAGCGCTACACAATGTGAACGCTAACATATCTATTGTTTGTCTTTGTTTATTTGCTTCTTTGTTTTTACTCATTTGTTTATTTGTGTTAACTTGTTTGTTCATTTGTTTGCGTGCTTTCATTTGTTTTTTCATCTGTTTGTTTGTTTGTGTTCATATGTTTTGTTAGTTCGTAATCATTTGTCTGTTTCAATAGTTGTTTGTAAAGTCTTTTAAGTTCAATTGTTTGTGTTCCAATATTTGTTGTTTAAGCTGGTTGACATTAGTTTATACAAGTCCATAGTTGTTTGTACTGGTCTGGTTCCTATTTGTTAACATGTTTGTTCGTGATATTGAATGTTTGCTTGTCAAATGTACGTCTCTTGAACATAACAGGGAAATGGCGAATCACAGAAAACTGGTTCAAACTTTTATCATTATTTCGGATTGGCAAAATAATAAACGGACTAAACAAAAAACAATAATGTAGCTAATTTATAAAATTGAACTATAGTACTGTAATTCAAGGTTTCTCTAGATCGAGAAAACATGTGCAAAGTTTGATTAATTGTGACGTCGGTTTTGTTCTAGCTTCTAGTGAAAATATAATGAAAAGAATAATGTATAGCTCAAACTGCATATTACTTCTAGGTACCGTGAAATTTTAGAGAAAAAAAATTTCATTTTTATTTTTCCATGTATGTACGTATGAACTCAGAAATTCAATCAATCAATCAATCAATCAATCAATCAATCAATCAATCAATCAATCAATCAATCAATCAATCAATCAATCAATCAATCAATCAATCAATCAATCAATCAATCAATCAATCAATCAATCAATCAATCAATCAATCAATCAATCAATCAATCAATCAATCAATCAATCAATCAATCAATCAATCAATCAATCAATCAATCAATCAATCAATCAATCAATCAATCAATCAATCAATCAATCAAATCAATCAATCAATCAATCAATCAATCAGCTTATAAAGCGCTATTTCCGCGATGTTCAACAGCGCTCCTCAATGAATTTTGAAAACAGATGGGCCTTGAGATCCGCTCTGAACTTCGCAAGTGATGGAGAAGTAGTCAGAGAAGTAGGTAGAGAGTTCCAGAGAAAAGGACCAGAAAAAGCAAAAGCAGATTTGGCAAAAGAGTGTTTAGCACGAGTTAAGAAAAAGCGAGAAGACGATCGNTAACCGGGGCGTTTAGGTTCAATTAATATATCTGATAAATACTTAGAAAATAATTTAGATTGAGACTTATACATGACGTGCAAATTTTAAAAATTATTCTATATTTTATAGGTAGCCAGTGCAAGAGAACAAGATATGGAGATATATGAGAAAAGAAAGGGGCACGAGCAACTAGACGAGCAGCAGAGTTAAAAGCTTTACTTAAAGGATAGAGTATAGAGTCAGGAAGACCATAGTAGAGCGAGTTACAATAATCAATCCTAGATAAGACTAACGAAGTAACAAGAAGGAGAAGAGTAGGATCATCAAGAAAAGGCAAAAGTTTTTTTATTCTACGTAGATGAAAGTAAGAGCTTCTAGCAACACTATTAATCTGAGAAAAAAGAGACATTGTAGAATCAAAGATAAAACCTAGACTACGAAACTTATGAGAGACATCAAGAGTTTTAGAATCAGGTAAGATAATAGGAGGAATAGTAATAGAGTGTTTAGATTTATTAAAACAAATTAATTCAAACTTAGAAGGATTAAGTTTAAGACACATAGAGTCAGACCAAGCGATAATTGAAGAAAGACATAGAGATAAATTATGAAGAACACTATTGAGATTAGATGGAGGAAAAGAAGTATAAATGTAAGAATCATCAGCATATAGTTAACTAGAGAAAGAAAAGTAATTAATAATACGAGGTAGTTCAGAAGTATAGAGTATAAATAGAAGAGGGCCAAGGGTAGAACCCTGAGGTACCCCGAAAGTAAGAGTAGAGGAGTTAGAAGTAGAATTATTGAGAACAACAGAAGAAAAACGATTATAGAGATAAGAAGAAAACTAAGATAGACAAGAATCAGTAATATTAAAAGAAAGATGCAGCAGTCTCAAGAGAATAGTATGGTCAACAGTATCAAAAGCTGAGGAAAAGTCAAGAGCAAGAAGAAGAGTAAGATTACTATTGTCACTAGAGAGAAGGATATCATTGTGTATTTTAAGTAAAGAAGTTTCAGTACTGTGAGCAGGTCTGAAACCAGATTGAGATACAGGTAGCAAAGAGTTAAAGTCTAAATAGGATGACAGTTGATTAAAAACAACTTTTTCTATTATTTTAGAGATGAAAGTAATATTAGTTACAGGTCTATAATTAGATAAAGAGGTAGGGATGAGTTTTTAAGAATAGGAATAACAATAGAATTCTTATAAGAAGTAGGAAATTTAGAGGTGGAAAGAGATAAATTAACTAATTTGAGAATGATTGGATAAAATATTGAAGAAAATTTATTAAGTAAATTAGAAGGCAGTAGATCTAGAGAACAGGTTGTAGACGACATAGAATTAATAATTTTATTTAGTTTTAAAAGATTTATTGGAGTAAATACAGAGAAAGATTCAGTAGTAAGTTTAGTAAAGTTATGAGAAGAAAAATTAGAATTAGATGTTTTTAAAGAAGTAATTTTATTTACAAAAAAATCATGAAACTGTTGAGCAGAAAAAGATGAGTGAGAAGATTTACAAGAAAGAAAATTAACAACTATAATTAAAAAAATTCATAAGTATGATTACAAATCTAAATATATACGATTGAAACCACCATATACTTCAAATGAAATTAAAACAATTCCAGTTAATTTATTCTAATTATATTGTTTCGTGATTTGTTGGCTTAAGAAAATAATATTATTTATTAAAATTCACTTTTAAAATAAAAGCGTCGCCATTTTTAAATGCCTTTCAAAGCAAAACAAACAAATGTTCTATTTAAATTTAAAAATAGAACTTGAAAACATATTTCAAGTGTTAAGTTGCGATTATTTTTGTTACAGATATATTTTTTGATAATTTTAACATCGAATTTTTTCTGTTAAGTTGTTTTTTTAATCGTTGCAATCATGCCGTCTAACTCAGCTTTTCTGAGTGTTGCTACTGGGCTCCCGCGCACACCCATCAATCAAAATTGTTCTGACAGCGCAGTTGTTAATGAGTTGATGTGGAAAGTTTTGGAATCAAACGTCTCTCTGGTCGGACTGGACGAGGTGCGTGGTCAGAAACTCATCGTGGACTCACGTTGTTGGTACCATTTGTTGCATGTGGAGAATGATCAGCTGGTTACCTCTTGCAGAAAATCTCAAAGAAATTGTAAATTAAACAACAGTGGTGATACTAAAAAAACTGCCAGTTCCGTTATGAAGGAACATGACACAAATTCTAAATTGCAGTTAGTTTCTGATTTTGTAATGCAAATGAACCTTAATAAATTATAAAAAAAAGCTACACTCATTAAAAAAAATCAATAATAAAGGTTTTTGACTATGTTTTCTCTGTTATACAGTTAATTTTTGAAGAAAAAAAAATGTTTCAATAGATTTCCATTTAATTAGATGAAATTATTTAAATTTCAGAATAGTCTTTTGGCAGCTGTTTAATTTAAATGTGAACCAGTTAAGATTGCTTGTGCTGTTTGAAAAACTGAAGGCTACCAAATCAAAGCGAGATGCTGCCATCAACAAACAGATTACATTCAATAATAAGGTAAATTTTATTCAATACCTCAATTTGTGAGTATGTCTCTTAATTTATATGGAAATTTTTCATTGTATTTTCCATTTTAGCTAATTGATATATTGTCTTAAGACAAAGTTTATAATCAGTTTTAAATAAAATTTTCTACTCAAATTGTTCATGGCCTGCATTTTATGCTCAATGTATCAAACCAAATTTACACAAAAATCTTCATAGACTGCTATATTTTATCCCATATATATGTTTAATTTATTTAATTTTTATTTGTAAATTCTAATTATATTTTTTTTATTTTACAAAGTCCAAAGAATTATTAACAAAGATGTCCATACCTTATGAGAATGTTGATGATATTGATCTGGAGTTAGCGAAGAGAATTAAAAATAATGTTAGAATCATTCACCGTGTAATTCATTTCATTTCATTTGTACCTTCAATTTAATATTTCACTTTTTCGAGAATAAGAAACACATTTTATAACTTTAAACTTATTTTCTGCTAAAATATAAATTCAATTAATAAAGATAAAGACAGCTAATATGTGTGTAAACAAATAATTGATTTGTAGGACTTTGATGCTTCCTTAACAAACAGTTCATCAATGCTGCTCTATGGCTGTGGCAAAGTTTTTCATCACAAGTCAACAGAAGCAACACTGAGCAAGTGCAACCAGGTCTCTATTCATTTTTTATTTTAATTAATTTTTTAAACAAATGGTAAATATAAAAATAGCCATAAAAATTTTTTATTAAATAATTTTGATTTAAAAATTTTAATGCAATTTTTGAGTTATAATTTATTCTTCTTTATGCAGTCACTACAAAGTATGAAGTTAGTTAGATATTCATCAGACGACCAAGGCAATAAATCAATATTATTAGCTCTGTATGCACTCTTGACATTCTACCAATCTGGAAACTACAAGACGACAGCAACAGCAGCTGTAATAAAAAACTCTGATAGACCAGGAGTCTCCCAACATAGATCCAGATTATTTTCAGTTGGATTTGAACATCCAGATGATTTTACTAAAAGCTGCAGTGATGACGTGGAATCAAAACAGTCCACTATCTCAACAAAATCTCAAAATTCATCCACAGTCACAAGAAAGAAGTCTGCCAAAAAGTCAGCAGTTCCATGCAAAGATGCATCAAATAATGGAGAAAGTGATGATAAGGTTGTTGGCGGTTCAGAAGTTTCCACTAGAAATGGTGATGGCACATGTGCCAAAAGTGACGACAAAATGTTTAATTTAATTTTTGAGTTTGTTCATCAGATGAAAGATAAATCATTGTTGAGGTGATGTGTGATTATATACATTTTTATATTTTTATTATTCTTTTCTGTATATTTTTTGCATGTCAGTTGCACCATAGTGTTCCAAACTCTATGCTCAGTAAATTTTATGATGCTTTTGCTTTTCGTGGTTGTAAAATTATGATTATGTTTTGAAATAATTTTTTTCAGTATCTACAAAAGGCTTGAACAACTCTGCTCATCTTCAACAGCAGCAGAAACGAGCTTTGAGATGACAGATGTTGAAAAGGCGTTATCATTCTTGTTCACAGATAAACTGACCAGTCATTTGAACAATGTACATTTATTTCTTATTCAGATATTTACATTTAGATTGTATTTACAATGTTTTTGTTTGTATCCTAGTTTTGTGATTGTCGTTGTTCTTTCATGGTTGAATGTTTTTGTGCTGCCCTATGCTTAGTTCAGTTAGCTGAAGTTTTTCAAAACACACCCCAAAATACTTTATTATACTTGATATGTGTATATATTTAAATGGTGGGTATTATAAAATTTTCAGATTCAGAAACATTACCACATGAAAGAAGAAAGTCTCGGCTCTCCCAGAAGTGATGATGACATTAAGTGGACCAGGCCAGATTTCCATTTATTACAAGTTGGTAGTGGATAATTGTGATAATACTTTTTTGTGCCTGAAGCTTAGTTGAACATTTAAGAGTAAAACCTTCTGAAAAAAAGCAGTTGCTCCCATTTGTTGTCAGCCAAACACAATTCAGATGAATTTTTATTATTTCATGCATCCCTAATTCCTATGCATAATTAAATTTGTCCAAAATTGAATTTTGTCGTATTTTTTTCGTTAATTTAGTTATACGTTTTTAAATTCTTTCGTTTGAACACCATCATAAATAGGAATACACTAAGAGCCTGCATCTATCACTGCCATGCAAGCAGTTGTTGAGTTACGTTGTCGCCTTTGATTTGTATTATCTCTCAAATGGTATTTTCAGTGGAGATTCATTTCCTGATGGCTTCAGCAGACCTGAAAAGTGATCTTCAACGAATTTAGATTTTCTGAATCATTCAATTTTGTTATCATTAATTATTAATAAATATTCTAAACCTGAGTTTTTATTGATTTGTGTATATGAATTGTGTTTTCAATTTTATTATCATCTTCACTCACTAAGGTAATCATTTTTTATACTCCCATTGTCACCACAACTTCAATCATTTAAAAATTAACCCAGGATAATGCGACTGAGCAAGAAAAAAGAGGCGGAACTCTATGAAATTAAATGGAGTTTTATTCGTTAGTTTATTTTTTGTTATTATTTGAAACTATTTTTTCTTTGCACTGCTAATGTTTATCATGCCATTTCACTGACATCAATACTTCTGTTTATAGTCCTGCTACCTATGTCGGTGTGTTGTGACAATTCTAAACAACATTCTGAATAAATATTTGATAGAAGCAAACGTTGGCAAATGAAGTAACTGAATAAATCTGTTCGTTAATATACCTCTGCAGCTGGTACAGAGGCTCTGAGATCAAGGGACCTAGTTACGACTGAATACAAAAACGTGTTCTCTGCTGCCTTTCCAAAAATTGCCTCCAAATTTGAAGGATGGAAGTTGAGATCAGATGATGATGACGACGAGGATGAAGAAGATGGTGGCGACGAGTTGGCCCGCAAATCACCCAGTCCGGGTTGGTTTTATTGATGCATTGTCGATTCATTCTGTTTGCATCCAACTGAAATAATTTTTGTGCGTTTCAACTCAATACTAAATTTTCTCATTAAATGCCTCTCAGTTAAGAAGGACAGAGGTAAGAGGAAGACATGTGACCCTATGGACACACCAGCTTCAAACAGCAGCGGTAGAACCACATTGAAGGATTACTACGTGGCGAGGAAGAGACTGAACTTTTAAAATTAAGAACGATTCACAAACTACTAAACAATTTTCAAAATAATCCGCGCGCGTGTGTAGCTTCTTGAATTTTTGACAAGTGATATGTATACATTCAATGAATCCTTTATTGTACATTTATTTGACTATATTACTTTTTTGAATTTTTTATGAATGTATTTTCTATTTTCGTGTATATTTGACTTGCAGAGGCGGTATGGAACTGTCTTCACGTGCGTTTGCATGTAGCCTAAATGTTACAATTGACGAGTGCGAGGTCGTTCATGTATATATGCGTCTTTGATCATTTGTTTATGAATCGCAATCGTATGCTTTTTATTTGTTACTGTACTGAATGTAACTCAGGTCATGAGATATTTTAATAATGGTTTTTTTTCAATTGATTACGATTTAATTATTCTGAGAGAGTAAAAAGATTTACAGAATTTTTTTTATCATCCTTATTATTTTACTGTAACAACGTTATTTCAATAATATTCCTTCTATATCGTGCATTATTACTGTTATTATTATTATTGTTAATTCAATTCTTTATCACATCACCTAGATAACGACCTATCATTCAACAAACAAGGAAGGTCTTGAAGCTTAAGTAATTCCTGATCAATTCAATTAAATCAGTAAATAAGCTTAATCATAGTTGTGGGTGATGTTCATGTTCAGCTCTTGATCATTATTATTATTATTGTTCATGTATAACTTTAAATATTGCCCATGCTAGTAAGTAATAGTTAGTTGTTTAGTAACTATATATATTTAGAAATTATATATATATATATATATATATATATATATGTATATAACATACTTGAAATAATATAATGAAACCATATTCAACACAGTCTTCTATGATTTCCACCGAACTTTCGGCATTGATTTGCCTCTAATTCGTCTTCTCGATTGTTTTCCCAAGATTCTTTTGGAGAATTATAATTAGATTTTTTTTTTCAAATTTTAATAAATTAAAGTCTAATTTATTGAAAGTTTATTTATTTAATGAAAGTTGGCCAATTATTAGACAGCCTAAGTGAGAAGTTTTCTTATTATTAGACAATCTTAGTGAGAACAATTGAAGAGAAAATTATTGCCAAAAATTCAGTAGAATTCATAGAATACTGCGTATATATATATATATATATATATATATATATATATATATATATATATATATATATATATACACATAATATGATCCACACATGGTAATAACACATTCGACGTATTTTCACGAGAACAATTGATTGAACCTACCGTGCCTTCAACAGCTCTCTACATACTGATCGTCAAGCGATTACACATGTACCGTGCCATTCATCCAACCAACATAATATGAGGGCGTCAAAATTATAGTATACATCACCTGATCGTTGTTATAATGTAATGATAACATGACTTTTTCGATTTTTCACGATTTTCTTGTATTTTTTCAGTTTTATTTCATTTATTCATTCTGTAACAGACTCTTTTATTAGCGAGCATTTTCCCGAACGTGTATATGGCAGTGGAATGGCCCTGTTGTTTCTCATTGGTGAACAATAATTTTTTGTATTTTTATGCGTGTCACAGTGGTTTTGAAGTTTCATTTATGTACATCTGAAGTTTCTAAAACACTCAAGCCGGCAAGAAATTATTTTATTTTTTAAACTTCCAATGGCCTGTCTTCAAATGTTATTATTCACATTCACACAAATAAATAAATGTAGAAGCCATAGTGACATTAATTTCTTTCACTTAAACACTATTACATATTAAAACAAACATTAAACTATCAAGACTGTGTGCATCGTCTCACACAATTGGCCAGATAACATGGCCAATCAGTATAAACTTTTACAATGGGGACTTATTTCTAATAGCGCAACCAGTACATTGAACCTCTGACTCTGTTGTAGTCTGGAACTTGCTCGGTTGGACCTGTTGTTTTAAAAAAATATCCCACGGTAATCGAATAACATAAAATTTAATGCATAGTAATTAATTGATACTAGAATGAACAGCAATGTGCAAAGATGTGAAGAAATCCACGGAAAATCAAAGCAGTGACTGGGATTAGAAAAAACATAACCAACCATAACAAGCGACAGCAGGACATTTATCATAAATATATTTGTATGCCACGTCTCTGACTGTTGAGGCATCGATAGAGTTCAGGCGGTTCTCAAATTCTTCATATGAAACTCGTCTGCCTAGGAACAATGCTTGCCTGGATGTAAAGTAAAATATTAATTTTGTATTTTCACTTTAGTTTTAATCATAGTAAACCGGAAATTAACATGAACTAATGCGACAATAAAAACTGAAGTATGTAGCAACACCAAAGCAAACATTTCATGAAAAATTGAATAGTTTGTGCAAACAAACAAAACAAAACAAAAATGAATTGCTTACTTAGCAACGTCGTCGCATGTTAGGGTGGTGTCACTCAAATGTCCAAACAATGAAGTTTTTAACGTGTTTTTGGCTCTTTCTACGTCACTATCAGTTACACTTGTGCACAGTCTCATCCTAATGTTCATTATAACTTTCGTCATTAATATCACCAGCTCATCATCAGTTACCTACCTTATTCAACTTCTTTATCATTACCAATTTTATTATCATCATCATTCATGGACAACAGTACAGCACTACTCCACTACCATCAACTGAACACAGTTGTGCAGAAATAAGAAACGGATCACAGACACACGCACATTCACGTGCACACAAAATGACATCACGATGCATACCATTCTCCCTGCAGATTGAAGAAAAAGTCAGCAACGGTCAACTTGTCACAAACAAAGTAAGCACCCCTGTTGTTGTTGTAGGTGTGTTATGTCATGTGATCATGTGAGATGTCTGGCTATTTACAGCAATGTTAACAAAATCAAGATGATATTTCAACCAAATTATTACCGACTAAACTACATGCGTGTATGTCTGTCCCAGCCACAGTATTTGTAACAGAAAGACTGTATCATTCAAATCACTAATAACATTTTATTACACTATATTTCATTTCGATTCAACCCATCATCACCACAAAAGTAACATTACTTATTGCATTATAAATGACAATTATTATCAAGTTAATTTTATTATAGACTGGAAAAAATCCTGAATGAATGCCACAGACCACAATCCCGTTCCTTGGTAGGTGAGATTGAAAGACTGGAAAGCATGAGCCAGTCCATCGTGAGCAGACGCCAGGGCCACCCTGTTGGCAAGATTCTTACCCCCAGCAAATGTTTTGTCATAATTTCCAACCAACGTGAGAGCTACTTGAAGCGGAAGATTGTCTTCACTGGCGGCACCAGGCCCTTCAATTGCCATTGCAATGTGAACCAGTGGCTCATCATCATAACGGGCCCTAATCTGATAGGTTGCAGAAAAAGTTTGAAATAATTTATCAGGAAATTTGTTTATTCAATGAGAATGACACGACAAAATGAAAACCCACTTCACTTCCGGTAAACCTGGATGGAGGAATGATGGGAATGCCCTCGTCGTAGTTTAGTGACATACCACCAAAATGCTTCTCTCCCAAACTAACAAGTTGTTCGTGAGACACACCTGTATTTAAAAAAATTATCAAGATCATTTGGCACAGGTAAGATTTGCAATCATGACTAATAAATAATTTATAATAAGTAATTGAGGTATGAATGTGTTTAAACCATGACTTTATGAATAATTTTTAAAATGATGATCAGAATGAAAAATTTGTTGAACCTCCAGCTCCAGCTAGCACCATTCTTGATGGCTTGACGTAAGTTTTGTGGAGTGAGTCCAAATCTTTCTTCGATAAAGATCTGGTAGAAGTTGATTAAACATGTAAGTGCATGACAATCAACATACCTGCATCTTATTTTATACAATCACCACAAACACAACTCATTCAGTACTGTCATAAATGTCGTAAACATCTTCTCAATCATAGCACATTCTCACTAAAAATTAAAATCACACACAAACATTCATATTAATTATTTTAACCAAACTATCCCCAAATGAACTTACTTGATGCTTTCAGTAGTGCCCAGAACAGATCTGCTCAGGCTGGTTCCCTGGTAGGCAGTGGCGTGCAAGTAATCCATCACAACAGTTGTTAGATCATCACCACTGGCCTGGTGGCAATTCATTTATTCATTCATCAAGATAAATTTATTTGAAAGTCATATAAAACAAACAAAAGATAAATTTCAAACAAAACTTTGATGAAAAAATTAAAAGATATTAATACTGAAAATTGCATAACATAAATCAATTAAGAATCCATATAACAAAATTTAATTAAAGAAAGGACTAACATCTAGTTCATTCAAAAGCACATGTTTCTCCCTGTCAATATCAGCATCAGAGAAGACATTGTTCTGAACCAGATCAGACAGAATTTCTACAGCTGCAAGTTATTATTATGTCAGAGTTTTCAATAATGACTAATATGTTGTGCTAAGTTCACTGTGCAAGTGAAACAGTTAGTAGAATTAATTTTTATGGACAAAATAAAAACCTTTTGGTACATCTCTCGAAAGGCATTTAGCAAAGATGGCCATGTGATCCCTACCGACATATGAATTTAAGTTCATTCCCAAGTTGTCAACCTCAGTTTCCAAATCTAACTGTGATCTCCTCGGTGTTCCCTGTTTTTATTAAGGAAAAAAAACACTAAATGAATTTAAAATTCAATTTTGTATGAAATGAAAAAAAAATTCAAAAGTACTTTAAATAGTAGGTGCTCAAGAAGATGAGTAGCTCCATTGCTGCTAGCAGTTTCATATCTAGAACCAACATCAACCCAAAGACCAACCTTCAATTTGTCATCATTAAATATGTTATCTTCTTAAAAACTGACAAATAGTATAATAAATATAAAATTGATATTAAATCAGTATAAAAATAACATAGAATATGGAAAGTGTAAGTAATCTAACTGTGGCAGATCCAGAATGATTCTCTTCAGTGGCCACTCTCAATCTGTTCTTCAGAGTTGTTGTCCTGGGATCCGGTATGCCTAAAGTTTCTTGATAAGACACAGCATGAGAGTACTGCTTGGCCCCCAATACTTTTGCCAAAGTATTCTAAATGAGTTTTGAGAAAGGACCATCATAAAGCATAAATATAAATAAATGAATAAACAAATTTTTGCTTCTTGAAGTTTACAACAATAACAAATTCGCAAGAAAACAACTTTTGAAGCTAATAGACTGATATAATTTATAATTAAATTCTTAATCTGACAGTTTTTCAGTTCTCAAATGAAAACCACTTGTCTGCTAGTGTTGTTTTTGTTTTTTGTTGATGACCTTGCAGAAATCGTCATGAAAATAAAAAATTTTTTAATCATAATAATTTTTGTTCAATCGTGAATTAACTTGAATTTTAAAATTAATTAAAACCAGCTTACCTTACTAACTCTGGACAAAACTTTTCTAGATGCCCGAAACGAATACATCACACTGGAGGCCGCCATGTTTTAATTTTCTACTTTTAGTGACGGTGCGTTCATATTCCCGATTTAAACTTTTAAATTTTTCAACGGTGCCATTTTAAAGAAACAAGCACAATCGTTCTTCTTCGTACAAATGCTAATCAAACTAGCCAGTCATTTAAACAAAAGAATGAAATATTTTTATGCCTATTTAATTATTTACTGAGCAAGTGCTTCGTAGCCAAGACGTTACAAATGAAACGAGGTCATCTATTGTAATTTTAGTAAAATTAGTCTGGTCTGCAGGCATTTTAAGTTATAATATGGCTGTTAATATTTAATGAGGAACTTTGCTAGAATTGAGTATTTAGAAATTGAGCAGTTTAGATGTCTGTAGCAAATGTTATTTTGTCCATCACAAGACTGTTAACAGATACACGAAAGTAGGACTGTTATAGTTCAAATATCAATAACTAGTCTTATATCCATTGAACAAAATATGAAAAGTAAAAGAAAAATATTAAAATTAAGTAACTTGAAATTATTTAACACAAAGCAACACCTGTCGTAGCTGAAATTGAAACGTCATAACAAAAATGTGAAATAGTAGTTAATAAAATAACAAAACTATAAATCCACAACGTGACTATAAGGACCATTAGTATCCATTGATAATACCTGTCTTGCCCCATAAATTCCAGCAACTAATTTATTGTTAGGAGCTTCTGGAGTGAATTTATTTTTGCAAGTTTGAATGAATTCTTTGTACAGTCTCTCACCTTCTTCTTTGTTTATGTTTGAGTGGTACTGAACTGATTTGCCTTTAACCTGTATATTCATTTGTTTGTTGTTAAACATTTAAATTATCCTTTTGCGCTGACTGTATGAAAAAACTAAACATTTATTTTGTAATGAGTCTTAGAAGTTGTTTGGATGGTTAGACACATAAATGAAAAATACACATATGATACGTGGATTTTATGTAGTTTTAAATCGTTTACTTTACTCACATGGTCAATTGCTGTCAACAAAAATATTTATAACAAGTTAGTAAACTATTGGAAAAATTTTTCTCACTTTGCCACCCAGACAAGCTTGTGGTACAATGAGTATGTCTCCAGGCAGATCAACCACTGTTACCAATTCTCCATCATCACTTGTGCTCAACCTCAAGCTCATGATGGCATCAACTAAATGCAGTTTCAAAATATGGTACAGATAGAATCTTAGATAATATCTAAAAAATAATTGAAACATTTTTTTATAAAACATTGCTGAAAATTAGCTTTTCAAATGTAGAATAATTTTAATAAATAAATGAAATGAAGCAAACATCTACCTAACTTCAAAACAGTATTTCCATCTGCTCCTTGCTTGAAGCACACATAAACGACCATTCCCCTCCCTATCTTGTAAAATAAGTTTTAGATTTTATTGTATTAATTTGTTGAAATTTATTTTTACTTCAATTCATAAATAGATAGATAGATGGTGTTCAATTAACATGCCTGCAATGATAGTGCAATTTTATGAATAATGTATGCAGGCCAAGCAATTAAAACTTATGAAGAAAAAATATGAAGAAACATCCAAGATCCAATACCTCGCTGTTGTTATCGTTATCATCATCATCATAAAACAATACCAAATACAAGTACATTCATTGTCAGTTTGAAAAATTGGCGCCAACTTCCAATTCGATGGTAGCTTCAGGCGTTTCATTCTTCAACTTAGCGGCCAGGCACTGTTGGATGAGCAGCCTGGCGTGGCTGTTGTTACTACTGCTGCTACTGCAACCACTAGTACTACCTTTATTATTGAAACTAGTATTATTATTGGCCGGAGCAGACATTTAAAAATGTCAAGTAATGTCTTACAATCTTAACGGTAAGAAATTACGTAATAAAACCAAAGAACCAAAACCGTAAAGTAAACAGTACTTCATAGATAAATAAAATGTACAATAAGATCATATGATGATGCTATTATATTAAAAGTACATGATACATATATTATACAACGTATCATGTACAAACAGCACCATATGCATATCATGCACATATAATATAATATATATATACATTATACATACAATACATATTGAATTATACATTACTTAGGTAATCTATTTCAATAAAAATGTACACGTTGATGTTGGGTTAGGCCAGTTGAGCAATCGATAAATATTTATTTATTATTAAGGTCGCATATCTCATATAAATTAACACACTGCTCATAAGTATACACACACACACACACAGGCACATACACACACACACACACACACACACACACACACACATATATATATATATATATATATATATATATATATATATAACAGTTGCAACATTCATCGTGTGGGCATATAACATGGTGCAACGTGTTGTTGTGCTACTTTTTCTGATTTTGTTATTTCAATAAAAGCAATACCACTCTCTTATACAAAATCAATGTAGCAATAATATAACAATGGCAACAGTGTTGTGTATATGTGTGGGCATATATATGGAATAACAGACAGAATAATATATTTATTTAGTTATTTTTATTATTCATTTTTATTCTTTAAAAACTCATTTTCTGTCAAAAGATAAAAATGTGTGTTTGTTTGTGTGTGTGTGTGTGTGTGTGTGTGTTCTTTTAAATAAATCAATAAAGTACTGATTGTACTGGTCTTTTGACTAGGTAGTACCAAGAAAAATGGATAATCTATAAATCAAGTATCAATCAAACAAGGAAGATTCATCAAAGAAAGTAACCTCGTCTCTGATTTTAATGTCAGTTATATATAGCATATAATAATAATGTACGGAAAACACAATTTGATTTAATTTTAATGGCACGTAATAATTTCACACGTATGATATAACAGCTGCAACAATTGATCTAGTCGGGGCTTCAAAATAGGTTATTTATAAAACAAAATAAACGTTACTTCATTTTAATTGTTTAGCGCTACATAAACAAATAAATAAATAAATATATATATATATATTATAAAATACACATGTACTTATATAAAATTTATATCATACAAAAATGTATAAAATGATGTCTAAATATAGCTGAGTTGGGAATTTCCCAGGCTTGGAATAACGCCGCTGGCGTAACTTTCCATCCGTATTTTCACGAAATGGTAAAATTAGTAACGTGACAGTTTATGAGCGTCTTTGATTTTTTTTACGTCCCAGCGTAAATTTCTCATCGTTTATTCTATTTTATAAAGTAAGCACTTCGCTTCAATCGGTTCATTTCTAAATTTTTGTACTTTGGATTGTTGACTGAAACTATAAAATATATAATAGTATAATTATAATTAATTATAATAGATATATTTTGTTATAATATAAATAATTGATTTATTTATTTTTACATTACGATTACTTCTACTTACTTACATTCATAAATTAATTTCGAATTTTAAACTAGAGGTAAAGTAAAAATAATAAAATATCTGAAAAGAATCAAAAATGAGTTCTACTAACAACCAGACAAATACAGATACTAGTATGAACAACAACAGAAGTCTTGGTTTTAGACAACAAAAAAATTCAATGGGGACAACTTATCTGACCGAAGAATCTTATTATAACAGATTTGATTCTGGCATCTGCTTGTCCTACCAATCCCAACACGATTCCTCATCTGTGCAGACGTCTTCAAACATAATCTCACCAATTTCATCACTTTACAAATCAAATGATCTGTCTGAACGAATTTCTGATTTAAACATCAACCAAGATTTTACAGAGTTTATGTGTCAGAATGGGGAAGGAGATACGTAAGTGTCTGTCTGTTTGTTTGCGCTGATTAAGATGATTTCATTTGAATGAACTGTCAAACTGTTATTTATTGTAATATTTTTATGATTTATCTGGCAGTTGTTTTTATTTTGTTGTAGTAGATTACAGCCGTTATGGAAACATTAATAAAACATTGTGACCCACATCATATTATTCTATTATTATTATTTCTATTATTTGACCAGGCCTCTGCACATAGCGGTCATAAAGAACGATCAAAACTTATTTTGGAAAATAATGGACAGCAATCCAGCGAGAGAGTATCTGAACTTACAAAACTTCGAATTCTTGCAAACCCCACTACACCTGGCCGTCGAAACTGAGATGACCTCAATCATCGAGGGCTTAGTGGCCATGGGAGCTGCCACAAATGTAAAAGACAGGTACGGCAACACTCCACTCCACATAGCCTGCATGAAGGGAGATTTTGTTTCGGTGACCAGGCTGATGATGCACAGGAACAAAACAACTGAAAACCCATCTGCCCACCAGAAAAGACAGTTGGATGTTCTCTTTCCACCAAGGTGGCTCACAGGATGTTATCAGGATTGTGACGACGAATTAACATCCTTCAATTATAATGGTAAGAATTTATATAACAATAATAAACAATATTTCTATTTATTTATCATCTATTTTATTTCATGAATCTGGATATTACAATTTGGTTTTGATTCATTAGCTTGGGCAGTCTACAAAAACTTTTTCATTTAACAGGAAAATCCTGTTTACACCTAGCATTGGAAAGAGAAGGGATAAACAGGATGAGGATCATCAAATTCCTCGTCTGCCAGTGTAGTGCTGATGTCAATGTACCTGTAAGTTATTCGTTGTTGTGAACAACTATGCATTGTTTCATTGCATTGTCATTAACAAACTAGATTTTATTTGCTTTGTGTTTTCGTTATCAAAGTTATGTTAAATCATTTGTAAATGTTTTAACTGAAAATCGGTATTATTATTTAAAGGGATTTTGGTTTTTATAAAGAACAGTACCGATATTTTCGTTAATCAAAATTGACACTGCATCATAAACATCCTCTAAAGCTTCTTCTTATAAGAATGAACGCGGATAATTTTATTTTGTGTGTTGTGAGAACAATGATGAGCGTGGTGTTTTTACAATTTACCGTTCGCGTTCACACAATTGTTGACCCTTCCCACAGGATGGAAAATCAGGTTACACCATCCTCCATGAGTTAGTGAGGTTGGGCGACGTAGAGGCCATTAAACAACTGCTCACCCTGCCCATCCCTGATTCCTGCCCAGCACTGCTGATCAACCCACTAAACTACGAACGTAGGACGCCATTGGACATGGCCTATTTGTTGCCCAGTTTAGATGTTAGGCAGATGATGGTGGATGCTGGTGGAGTGATGTCCAGTTCTTTATTTACAACGTCGGGTTCATCTCCTTCCTCGTTATCTTCATCCTCCTCTTCCACATCCGCTGAGAACCCGTGACATTTTAAATTTACTCTTATTAATATTCATTTACTCTTATTAATATTCAGTTACTCTTATTAGTATTCATTTTGTTTTAAATTAATAAAGACCAATGATACATTAATGAAATGCGTATTGCTATTTTCATTTAATGAATTTTACTCACAACCGTGCATTAATTATTATAATTAATACATCACCTGACCACGTTACCTTCTTTAGGTTTCTAATGTTCTCCTAATCCTGTGTATCTATCTATTTGTTGTGAGGGTGTCGTTGTACATTTGTAAATACATAATCAACAGTGGTGTCATTTGTTTTTCAACAACGAAAGAATTGCGCTGCTCTCGACAATCGTCTGAAATTAACAACTCGAAGTATGGATAGGAAAGCACTTCAGTGTGTCAAGTTAACGTAGGTGAATGTATTAAGTGCACTAATCAGCAAACTGAACGAGAGGTTTGAAAGTGAGTGCAGCGTAACATAGCGAGTGCACGGTTCGTTATACGCAATATGATGCGCACACACACACACACACACACACGCATGCATCTGTAAGGTACTTGAGAATTGCGTTTTGACGTTCGGCGTAAAATACGTGCAATTTTGAGAATCTTGATGGCGACAGCGAAATCGATGATAATGACGTCACTAAGGATTCTGCCAATGACAAACATGAGGTTGGTGATGACGTTGTCGAAATCGACGGTGAAACTGATGTAAACGTGTCGATCTAAGATGCTGATGAAATCGGTGATGATGACAAGACATTTTTGGTGATAAGTCCGATAACGATTGAATGGATGACCACTGCCATCACAGCTTCTCTTATTTTATCACCCATCAGCATTATTTTTATTAATAAATTCTCGTTGACAACTAACAATAACAACTCAAACGACTACCAACTGGTTATTTATTAGTTGCAAGAATTATCTTAATAGCATATTAATATTTCTTCTTCTTTCTCGTGCCTTATCCTTTCAGGACATTAGTGACCATCGACCTCCACAAAACCCGATATTTAACACTTTGTAGTAGTTGAAATGTGGTGATATTCAACGAGTTATACAAGGACTTCACGAATATTATTCGTTGTTGACCGCGATCTAAATATTAATATTTAGTACTGAGTATTTTTCTATAAAAATTATTAGATTTTTGGCCACATATGCATTTTCTAGTAAATTTTTAGTTAATTGAGCTAGCTACTTATTAATAGGTAAAACGGGTAATTTTCCTATCAATTCTCTCTCTCTCTCTCTCTCTCTCTCTCTCTCTCTCTCTCTCTCTGTCTGTCTCTCTCTCTCTTTCTCTCTCTCTCTCTCTCTCTCTGTCTATCACTCTTTCTCACTCTCTTTTATATTATTTAGTTTAGAAAGACTCTTTATTTTATGGATTATTAGTACTATTAAGAATTAAAAATGTTGTTCATTTAATAGTTGACCGAATTGTTGCGTTTTGATGAATCTTGCAAGAAAAAATAGCGATGTGGAAATGACACAAAATTGATTATAATTATGACATATTTGTTACAAATTGGACGAAGCTCTTGGCAAAAATGGTTCATAAACGTAAATGGAAATTTACACGCAGTTATAAGTAGTTATAAGTACATATGTACGTAATTTTAAAAACACACAGAAGCATTTTAGACCCACACACACACATACACAAACACACAAACACGCATATTAAACACATACACCACACATAGATACAAACACATCCACGTAAATAGATACACCCGTAAATATTGTGTGATACAAACAAACATAAATACGCCCACCACACACACACACGCGCACACACGCACGCACACAGACACACACACAGACATATACATTAAATATATATTTAAACACTCTAACACGCATGTGCATCTATCCAAGCAAGCTTTATGGTCTCCATGACAAAGAGGAAAAAATTCAAAGGACAAATTAATTAATTGAAAGCACACATACAGAAAATTCCTACCTACAAATTCTGTTACTAATACTACTAATACTGTAATACTACAAATAATACTATCTCTCTACTATCTCTCAACTTTAGAATTACTTTTAGTATCCTCACTAATCCTCGAATCAGACAGTTTAATCAATCTTTTTCATATAAATCTATGGGACTCTTAGATTTCTTGTTCCTAATTTCTCTCTTTGTTTCTCCCTCTCCCTTTGTCTCTCTTTCTCTTTCTTTCGCTCTCTCTCTCTTTCTCTCTCTCGTTCCTTTTCTCATTTTGCAATTTCATTAAAATATTTTTTGTTTCTTTCTGTTATTATTCATTTGTGTTCTTCGACTTTCTCCTCCTCCTTTCATCTTCTCATCTCATCTCTCTTTATTTTTAATCATAATCAAGCTAGAGTAAATCCCATCATTCATCCACATATTTATTTCATTCAGTCCGTCTTATTGTGTTTGTCGTTTCATCTTTCGTTTCCACCTCATCCGTGTTTTCCCCCGTCTAATTATTCTTCCCTTTAATCTTGTTCAATTAAGAATCGCATAGATATTTTAAACCTTAAAAATGCAATGTATAAGTATGCACGTGTGAACGCATGTCTTTATGTGTATGCGTGTGTGTAGTTGAATGTTCATATATGTGTGTATGTATTTTTGAAAATATGTGAGTGAGTGAGGATTTATATGTGTGTACGGGACATTATGTGTCTTGTTCTTTATATGTGTGCTTTAATGAACATATATCTGTATGTGTGATGTTAAAAACATGTGTACATTAACGGGGTTTAAATAGACTTGTGTTATTCCTAATTGTCTTGCTTCTGCTGAGTGTATGTTCTGGCATGTGTGTTTCCACGTACCTGCACGAATACGCTCACACATGTTTATACCATAAATGTGTTTGCATATAGGACTGTACGTCTGTATTAGTGTGAAAAATTGCGCATGCTGACTGATCATATGCGTACGAAGTCTGCAGAGCATCGCAAGGAATGCGATTTCAAAGATGAGTACATTAATTTAATTATTTTTTTATTTTGAAAGGTCGTTGTCCTTTTTTGCGTTTGCATGTCTTGCTTATACGTATGTGTAAATGACAGGTGCATGTGTGTATGCGTTCATGTGTGCGTGTATGTGTGCGTGTGTGTATGCGTTCATGTGTGCGTGTATGTGTGCACGTGCACGTTCGTTTAGGTGTTTGTGTTCCCTGCAGGATTTTGTTATCTATAAAAATTGATCTCAGTTTAATTGGAATCGAATCGATAAAAATAGGCAAGAAATTAATTAAAAACCTGTTATGTAATTGTTACTGGCGATGCTGTTTGTGCTGTTGTTGATGAATTTGGTGTTATTTGGGTTGTTGTTGATGAATTTGATGTTATTTGGGTTGCTTTTGATGATTTTGATGTTATTTGAGTTGTTGTTGATGATTTTGATGTTATTTGGGTTGTTGTTAATAAATTTGATGTTATTTGGGTTGTTGTTGATGATTTTGAGGTTATTTGAGTTGTTGTCTGATGATTTGGACGTTATTTGGTTAGATTGTTGTTGATGACTTTTTTTTTGTATTGTTGTTGTTGTTGTTAATGTAATTGTTGTAAAGTGGTAATTGATCATGCTTATGCTGCTGCAGTTGCTCTTATTATGATTATTATATTTTAATGGCATTGTTTTGTCCACATTTTATCGTTTTTTTTTTCATTGTGCACATACACGTACACAAATAAGCGTATGCAAACATACACACACGCATACAAATGCATACAAGCATGTACACACACTCACTTCCGACACAAAGACACCATACACACACAAACGCACACACGCACACAAAGACACCACTCACACGCACGCACGCACACATACACACAGTCATACACACAGACATACACACACAAACGCGTACAAAAACAAAAATGTCTCAACAATAGGAAACAATGTTATTTTTTATATTTTTTAATTAAATTTTAATTTTGTTTCTAATGCGTCTGATAAATTCACGCTTGTCTAAATTATGATGACGACGACGATGATGATGATGGTGGTGGTTGTGAATGGTGATGATGATGATGGCAATAGTGATGGTGGTGATGATGATGACTGACATGATGATGACGATTGACATTGTTGATAATGAGTTAGACGGTTTGAAATGATAATTTATGAGTGATTGCGATGTCTTATGATGATGCAGATGTAAAGATGATAATCATGACGTTTATAGTGGTAGATATGATGATGAATAAAAAAAATTTATCAAGAAAAAGTTTATATTACTTAGTAAATACACCTGCTTACGTTTGCCTCGCTTCTTGATATTTTGTTTTATGTTTGTATGTTTGAAAGTAGGTTTGTATAAATGTTGGCATGTTTGTATGTATAAGTGTATATGTAAGAGTAAATGCTTGTTTGCTTGTGCTTGTATTAACGTATGCATGATTGTTTTTCTGTTTGTCTATGTATTTGTTTAGGTAGCACAACACTACGCGTTAAGTGACGCCAAAAGTTTTACGTTTGACGTCATGGTTGTTACCAAAGATGTTATATATTAAAAAAATATTTTTTTTTTTTCAATTAATTAGTTCTTTCAAACATTTGGCGTCATTTGTTTTGTCTGGTTTATTTTATGTTATCCGTTTCATTTATAGCCCATTCATAATTTTTGTTAGGAACCGTTATTAAAATGTCAAAAAAAATTATTTTGAAAAGGTAAAATAAAAATAAAAAGAGCATCAAAACGAAAACTCAAAAAAAATTAGAAAGAGAGAGAAGAGAGAAAGAGAGAGAGAGAAAAAGAGAGAACCAGAAGAGAAGTAAAAACGGCGAAATGAAACAAAGGGAATTTTATTATTCACGATTTAGCGGGCTATACAATACAATCTAATAATGTATTGTTTTATATTTTTTCCTATTTAATTCGTTTTTGTTATTTTCATTCAGACGCATGCATACGTAAATGACAAGTTTGCGTGAAAGGCAAGTATGCGTAGAAACGTACATATACGTACATATACGTGATGGTAGAAATGTAGTAAATGTACGTGATCAAATGAATGTCTTGTGAACGTGTGTGTGTGTGTGTGTGTGTGTGTGTGTGTGTGCATGCATGCATGCACACCTTTGCACGTCGGTGTATTTCGGTATACATTATAGTATATATGTATGTTAAATTTTCATGCGTGTATGTACGAATAAGATCTTAAGTGACGTCTGTGTTGTGTGTCGGCTAAGCAAATGTTGATGTTTCCAAGTGGCACAAACGCATGCAGGTAGGTAGATATGCTGATAAACATGAGAGATACAGAACGCGTAGATACGCGTCAATATTTGCATTCTCCTCTTTGTTTGATCGCCTATCTGCACAATTTATTATTGCTTATTATAAACTTATAAATTATTCTGATGTTTCTTTTTATTTTATGTTTGAACTCTTGTCCGTAGTTTTGTTGTTGTTGTTTTTTTTTAATGTATTGTATGTCGTGGCTGATGTTGTTGATGATATTTTCATTAAGACATTGTTGCAACCAATGTCTTTTTATTGATGGTTTCTTTGGGTTGTTCGGTACTTGAATTGCTGGCTGGTAGCTAGGGTGAATAGATACACACACACACTCACATTGACGCACACTCACACTAAAAACCACACACATTCACACTATAAAACACATGCTCCCATACGACAAAACACACACACATCAAGAAACACACACATTTAGGTTTATTAATATTTACATCGCCGAGTGGTCTACGACGGTAACTTTTTTTTTCAAAATGGTGGTCTCGATATAATGTCAAGACATCGATTGGATATCGAGACAACCCTTTTTCTTATGTTTGACATTTGAAATAAACAAGAAACCGGCATTTAAAAGAAATGCTGGCAATTAAATGGAAAAACCACATTCTCACAGATAAAATACATTTATGCGTAATTACATATGGGATAAATCGAACAATTTATTGGTTAGTTGTTTGGTTGGTGGGAAGTGTTGGATATTTTTTAAATAATATTCTTGGTATATGGCCAAAGAAATATAACTATGACATGATTGATTGGCATATGGAACTTTCATGGAATTTGATCGTACGGTGGAGGTAATGCCGTCAACTGTGTCAAATGCCTTCTGCAGAATTGAACCTAATTTAAGAGACACACGTGGCAAACGTTGATCAGACGAAACTCAGGTATACCGTATTTATATTGTATATAAACATATGAATGTTTGTATAATATTGTTTGTGATGTGATACGATGCAGATGCAGTTTTACAAATACATTGTGGAGTGGAGACTGTATCGCTCTGCTTATGTAGATGCATTCATAAGGGGATAGTAATATTTGGAAGGAGTAAACACTAAACAATATGGGGCTGAAAATGTTATGTGTGTGTATGTGTATATTTGCGTGTGTGTGTGTTTGTGGTGTGTGTGTGTGTGAGTGAGTCATTGTATGCCTGTATTTGTTAGAGTGCGAAGCTATGGATACCGCGTTAGTAGGAATTATTGTAGGACACGTTCAACAAAATTACATTTAGAATGAAGATGGCCATAATTCATTTTCAGTTCTATAGAGGTTTGGGAAGTAAACCATTTTTTTCATTAGAATTTGCATACCTAAAAAATGATTTAAAGAGTTTGTTAAAAAACAAATATTTAATGTTATATAGTGAAATTTTTTTCAATAAATATTCTGTCTGATTTCGTGTTTCTAGTTTAGTCACGTGATTTATATAAACACGCTTTGATGATTGCAAACCTGTGATTATGTAAGGATTTATAAATGTTTATTTTTTTAATTTGTAGAAGTAGAAAAAAAATAGATGAAAAGACAAGAGATAAAAGTGTAGACAGACAGGCACTGAAATGTAATTAATTTTTCATTTGAATTTTTTTTTCTACCTGAAAGTTTTCAACTCTATGTACTTTCACTTTACATCCACTTTCATTTTACTTTTTGTCATTATATGGGTAACATTGTTAAGCCACCTGTGATGCATTAATTTGATGTGCAGTGGCGGATCTGGACAACTTTGACGGGGGGGGGCAAAATTCGGAAAATGATAAAATTTTGACGGAGGGGCCAACATTTGTAGTGATGTAATGTAGTCAAAATTATGCTGACGAACGGTAGATTTTTCTTTTAATACAATAAGTTTTACTGACTTAATGAAAATACTAAACTCCCTTCCAGTTGTGACAAGCATTTGTAATGAATCCACCCCTAGATTCTTTGCCACTGTGTCTTTGTTGTTGATACTTTTTTTTCAAAAATAATAAAACAAAAAACTTCTGACTGTCCTTGCAAAATTCTAACTGTAATTTATTTTCATCAGTGCATGTCCAAGATTCATTTTTCAATCAACAAATCTGATTACAAAATTTTGCAATAAAATCAAAATGACGTGAACAATCAAGTATGAAACAAATTTCAAAGATAAATAACCAATGCGTCAGTCGCCCTTCTCGTTCAAACTTCGTTGTTTCTTTGTTCATTTTACTGCGCACCATTAAGTTTACATTTCATTCTTTTACTCAGAACATGGATTATATCGAACATTAAAAGGATAAAAAACATCCTAACAAGCAAACTCGTCACAGGAACTCGCATATAAAAAGCATTTGTTTTTCCATTTTTTTTGTCACATCTGACTCACGCTTATGAATGGCGTTCAGTGGTGACATGATTGAATCCATTGTTATGGGTTTTTAAAAGTTTCATCCGCCCATTCATGGAATTCTATTTACATCATTTCACGTAACGCGCTCCAGTCTTTTTCACTTTAGTTCATTCTTTCGTGTTTTATCTTTTGTTCGTTCGTTCATTCAATCATGCATTCATTCACTTTTTTACCCATTTATACATTCATTCATTCACTTATTCACTCACCCACTGGCTCATTTTGTAAATCAATTTTTTTTCTTTTTTACGACAATCAATCGATCAGCCATTTTTTTTGTTAAATCTTAAATAGTTTGCAATTTTAAACCGTTTAAAATTTTTAAAATTTTTATAATATTTACTATTTTAATTCTTTTTTTTCTTATTATTATTATCAAAGTAAAATTTTTGTATCTTTTCTGGAAATTTGCGTCTGACACAATTTCAATGGTGACTAATAAACAATAAATTGCCCATTCATACACGCGCGTGTGTGTGAGCGTGCTACACACACAACACACACACACACACACACACACACACGTACGTACACACATCGTACAACGTACATCGGCTTAATGCAAATAGATTGCAAATATTAATTTATTTGGTTGGCTCAACGCAACATCAACCCCATCGTCGTCGTTCTCATCATTATATTCCTTATTATTATTATTATTATTATTATTATTATTATTATTATTATTATTATTATTATCATTTCCTCGCTCATCATCATCATCATCACTATTGATGCAACAAACAATTAAGTAAGGACATTCGCATTTTACGACCAGATATAACAAAGTATTTCCATTCATTATTAACAACTACGAGCGACAATGATGACGGTGATGATGATGATGATCAAGATGATGATGATGATGATGACGATGATGATGGATATGAATATGGTTACAATGACGTTGATGATGCTGACTCAGATATTAGAAATCAAATTAACACCGATGATTAAACGATGATGACAATGATTAAGATGATCATGTTGACGGAGATGACGACCGCAAAGATGATGTTTGATTGATGATGATGATGACACTTTTGGTGACAAGTCGATTCTGCCTATAACTGATGACGCTGAAATTTTTATTAATGATGATAAATCGTTCGTTTATTTGTTGTTCCATTTTTGCATGTATTCGTTCATTCATTCGTTCATTCATTCATTCATTCGTTCATTCATTCATTCACTTATTCATCCACTCATTCATTTATTCATTTGTTGTCATTTTCCTGTTGTTTCTAAATATATCCATAATTTAACACCTGCATTTGCTGTTTGATTATTTCAGGTAAATTTCCTTCACTTTATCTGTCTGTCGGTTTGTATGTATGTATGTTTGTCTGTCCGTGCGTCTGTCTGGTCTGTCTGTGTATGTATGTATGTCTATGTACTTGTAGTTTATGCTTGCAAATTTAGTGCGTTGTTAAGTTTATATATTTAATGAATGCTGTATGTGACGTGAAAACGTATGAATGAATAAACGAATGAATGAATGAATGACTGAATGTATGTATGTATGTATGTATGTATGTATGTATGTATGTATGTATGTATGTATGTATGTATGTATGTATGTATGTATGTATGTATGTATGTATGTATGTACGTACGTACGTACGTACATACATACATACGTACGTACGTAATGTATGCAGAAAAGTAAAAAGAGGAAATTGGGAAATGGA